GTGCTGAGGAAGCAAACAAGCCCTGAAGAGGGAGCGCTGACGTCATGGCAGGGGAAAAGTCAGCAAAGATGTTCCTGCGTCCCCTGGGTCAAAGTTCAACCGGCCACCATTACACGAGCTACTGTAGCGTCAAAGAACATCCTCTGTTCTCTCTGGTAACTGGTGTGTCATCATATTTAACTCCTATAGTGAGAAAATCCCTTTTAAGTGCCGATTTTTTACAAAAGCTGATTAAAAAGTGACAATATTTAGCTTTTAAGACGAGGATTGTAAATGCACCTTCAAACTCTCAATCTCCGTATTTGACAGTCACAGTTTTGCAAATATTGCTTGCACTTTAAGAAATTATTATTTGAAGTTCAACAGTCAAAAGCTAAGTTAGAAGCCGTGTATTTTGTCGGCTTAGTTTTCTTAAAATGAATGTCAAAATATTGTCTCGGCTCGTTCTCGTGAACCCTGAGCCTGAGCCCTGAGCAGGTTTTGCTTTATTGGTTTTCCAAACGCAGCGGTGAGGTACATATAGGAAACTTTGCCAGATGTAAATGTTAATCGTAATGTACATGAAGATCCACAATGATCTCAGTCAAGACTAAAAGCCTTAAAATCAATGACATTCATCCATGTGGAATGATTTTCCACTTGAGGCCCATCAAACAAACTGCTCTACATTGGACTGAACAGTGATGGAGAGCTTAAGTAATCGTGTGCATTGTATGTACATTTTCAACTGTATAATGATCTAAGGACAATCAAAGTCCTAATGCTTTTTCACCGCTACCATCAGCCAATAAAAATTAACCATGTTGTACAATACATTGATGAGACATACTAAACGTCACAATGCACAGTGTTCATCATCAGGTAGCATCATGATGCACCTGTATCTATCACAATTCTGATATTTAGAGTTTAAATTAAAAAAACAATGGAATTGTTATGATCCAATGGAGATTGGTAGGAACCAGATGCTTCCTCTTTTTCCTTGGTGAAGAAATGTGAGTATCAAGAACAGTTCTCTTTTTTCACTTTAATTTCCAGGTGTATAATTAAAGTTAGTTAGGCCGTTTCTGTAGTACATTGCCTGTCAGTGGGTCCTTTGTGGAGGCCGTCTTCAGCCTCGGTTTTAAAAAGGAAGCCCACCTTAAACGCTTCTCTTTTCATAACGAAGGGATCTTGTGTGTTCTGCTCTTTAACTTGATAGTGAGTGGACTTTATTCGAAATGCAATACAAATCCCTGAGATAAGTAAAAACGGGTCCGATTGAACGGTGCCTGAATTGTGAGCAGAGGCTAGCTTTGAAAATTCTCTTGAATTTCCCACTCCTAGCACACCACAACACATGTCGGTATATAAACAGCTGCCAAGTTTCCAAGTGTTTATTACATAACCAAATGAGCAGAACCACTTTTTCTGCATGTAAACATGAAATTATCTACAAAACAAATGGATATCTAAATAAATTATCCTATTGATTGTAGCTTCACAAGACAAAATGTCCCTTATAAATTATTTCTAAAATTAAGGTATTAAAGTATTTTAACCATTCAACTAAACCAGTTGGACTCCAATCAAAGCATGACAATGTCCAGCCTTTACATATGAGAGGCTTTGATGATCAATTACACAGGAAATCCCACGTGTGAGGGGGAAATTCAGTTTGATTACCTGATCGGAAAGCGGTCGACCAATCGCCAAAACGCCCTGCTCACCTTCCTTTCACATCCCATCGAAACGCTAATGGTTGGAAATATTAGAATGAAAACAGGAAACAGCTGTTTCAGCGGCTCGTTCCAGTGGATTTGTGACTCTCCTCACCAGCTCCCTCCCTCTGTGGACTTCTTCCTGCCCTTCTTGCCTCCCCTGTCTCACGGGCTGTATGTCTGAATCAAATCACATCTTTTAACTTTTATCGCTTTAATCCTAATGGACACAAAAGTGTCTGTGTATTCTCATTGAAACTGTGAGACTGAAGAGAACAGTCGTACCGATGAGGAAGAAGACTAACTTTAAGCCTTCTACAAAGTCATTTAAAATAGGTTGAAAACTAATAAGAATCAAAATCAAGTGCTGGTGAGCTTTAAGAGGAAGCTCTGCAGACCCAACCCAAAGGTTAATGGCACTTTTGGGGGTCCACAGAAATACATCCTGACAAAAATGGAGCTGGGAAAGCCTGACACGAGCACGGAACCTGTCCCAACCACAAGACATTCAAATTAAACGCAAGAAATGTGTGTGACAAACAAATGGACCAGACTTTGTGAGTATTCTCACTTCAACTATTAAACTTTCATCCGTATTCAAACCCAGTGAGCAGTGCTGACCAACATGTCATCTAGCTGTGCCAGTGGACAGTGATCAGTGTCATTCCCCTCATGACAGCCCCAGCCTCTGACCAGTAAAATCAGTAAAAGTTTCCAAAATGCTTAAACACCAACCAAACTCAGTTGAAGGCCTGCTCCCAATGCTGAACCTCTGTCAGGTCTGTGAGAGGTTGTGTGCCCCCTCAACAAATATTGCTTCTTGCACTCCAAACCTATTTACTGGACCTTATTGCCTCGTCTGACATGTCCTTAATTATTTTCCTCACATTCTATCCACTCAACAATGCGACAGCAGGCAGAAAACAGACACATGTGAATCCAGAGGCGGATGACGCCCGACGTGCTTTTCCAAGAACTCCACCGCCTCATTTGCTGCACGTGACTTTCTGCCCTGGCAGGCGCGACTTGCAGCCAAAACAGGGCGTTGAGAGTTTTTAATGCCAGGCGGAACCATAAGCTTGCTGTTAATCCCCCCCACACACACACGTCCTCGCTGCTCCCGACCTACAACGAGACGTGGTCCCGCACAAAGAGCAGGCTTGTCGGATCTGTGATATAACCCTAATCTCGGCGCAAAGCGGGGGGGAGCCTCCCTGTGCCGTCACCCCCTTCTTCTGAAGGGGCCTTGTTTTGGGTTACAGAGGCCATAACTGAAACATTACATAACCATCAGAGAGGATAGTGACCTCCCAGAGACGAGTGGCCTCAAACATCACTGCTGACGGGGAGTGAGAAATGGATTTTCTCTTTTCCAGCAGATCGGGATCTCACTGCGTCTGTGTGACAAATAAAAACTTCCACACAAGCCACAAGACCTTCCAGAAGACAAATCGGTGGCACAACAAAAGAATCTGAAAAACAATTGCTTTTGCATGAACAAAGCGGCTATCTAAAGGTTTGAAAGGCTTTCTTTGCAGGGCCAAACAGGTTAGTGTCATGTGGAGAACTTCAGTATCATCATCTGCTCAACATGTGATTGGAAAGCACTTATAATTAGATATGATTTCCTGGAACGGTCGACTGAGTGTGCTCTTTTTGTCCGGGTGATCCCGTTTCTCTGGAGTTCTTAGTCTCCGCCCAATAAAACTGTTAATAACAATAATAATAATAATAATAATAATAATAATAATAATAATAATAATAATAATAATAATAATAATAATAATAATCGTTGTCATCTGCTGCTGTCTAAACAAGCACTCTACAATAGTAGTTGTTGCTCTCTAACCAGAGAGGTCAAAGAGATTATCTCTGCCCCACAAAAGTCCCAAAGTGCCTTTTCCTGGGAAAAAAACTGGAAACATCTGCTCAAAAGATAACTAATCAAGATGATTACAATCTTGAAGAGTGTTTATGTTTTCCCTCTGTGTAATCCTCATAGCAGTCAGATGATACTATGTGAGAATACACAAGGCTAAGAGGATGGTGTCCTCTGTTTTTTTTGTTTGTTTTCTTCAACAGAGGACAGAGGAAAACGTCCCCCACGTACACATCTGTCAGCCATTGGGCCTGTTTGAACACAACACAAGAACAGTGTGGATGAAAAGACATAAAAAGGAAATATTGGCATCTGAAATCAATTTAAAGCACTATATGAGCTAAACCTGAGACATAAAAACACTGAAAAGTGTGTCTTGTTTTATTTAACATGGCTGAGACCAGAAACTAAATCAGGAAAAAGCTCCATCCTTAGTTCAGGGATTCTCCAGCCAATAAAACTTGCAGCTGACTTAGAATACAACACCTCATTAAAATCTTTTTTTTTTTAAACACAGGGTGTTTATTTTAGTGAGACAGAACTGTTGTGACAGTTTCTGTACTTCAGGCCTCTCAGGATGAATTTCTGTGAGCTAGGAAGGAAGTTTATGCCCAACATTTGCCGTTTATTTATGGGACAAAAACTCCTCCAGGGGAACTTCTGAGTGATGGCAAAAGCATAACATTTTGCAGCCTCGTAACAAAAGTGCCACAAGTCTTCCTCAATGCTCTTTTAAAGAAGAACAAAAGCATATTTTCAGGAATATCAAATCTTATCTTCAAAAGCAAAAGGGATGAGGGAGGAGGGGGGGTTGATGTTAGGAACTGAACTGAGGAGAGGAAGATACTTTGTGGCTTGGAGGACATAAAAAAGCCCCCAAATCAGCTGAGATTCCTCCTGACCACATAGCTCATCTGATCCTGAGATGTTGTGTTTAGTCTGGTAGTCCAGGAGAGGAGCCAGTGTAGGACAGAGAAGAGCCACCTAACATGGAAACACCCATTTATGCGTGACTAAGAAGAGCAGTCCACCATTATAACTAATTATAGGAGCAATGCAGCTTTAGGTGGCTAATTGAAAGTCTGAAATAATTTGATCTACAAGAGAAAAATCAGACTTTACTAAAATGACAACTGTATGGCCATTATGAGCTACACACAGTGGTAACCAAAAAGCATAAAAACTCCCTCTGGGTCGCTGTAAAGCTTGAATTTACAGACCTATTTATCACAAAATGGAAAATCATAGGACCCATGTGAAATAAAATTGATTTCTATCCAGGCAAAGTTGATAAAAGCTACTATAAAGCTTCATAAATGTATTTGACCCCCTCTGAAAAGTGTTTGTTGTTATACCGTAGTTTTTCCTTTTTCTTTTCTTTGTGAAGAGTGTTTTTAGAGGTTGTTTTTTTTTTGTTTTACCTGGAAGAAGTAGCGACAAAATCTCCATCCAGCAGCCGGAGCTTGCAGAATAAGACCCCGTTGACAAAAGGCACAGCGGTGAGCTCCTCCAGGGTCAGGTTGGTCTGAAACTTGAATTTCTTCTTTTTCGCGAAAAATGCCATGGTACAATTATTTCCACTCGCTAAAAAAAAAAAAAAAAAAAAAGAATGGAGGAAAACTTCTGCCGACGGAAGACTGTCAACTTTAATAAGTGGACCGAGCCGAATGAAGGATTCCGGCTGTTGCTGATGTTCTCATGCGACCTGCATTTGTTCGGACGTGATTCAGCACCGAACTCCAAATACTTCGCGAGGCGAATGAGGAGGGGAGGGTGGGTGTGGGGGGTTGGGGGGGGGGCGTTGAAAACTAAAAAGAAAACTAACCCGGTGACATTTCGGATTCTGTGGCTCTCTCCGGCAACAGTTCAACGACAAAAAATATCCACAAACGGGGCTTCGTACGGTACCGAGAGGAGGAACTTTATTGGCAGCATCAAGTTACGCGAGTTCGTTACGCAACTTCCGGTTACCCCTCTTCGAAGCAAAAAAAAAAATCGGGGAGCACGATGATGGTGACGGGGGAAAAAGTTCACAACATTATACATTCCAAACTTATGGAAAGTAAAGTGCAATATAATAGACCTTGTACCTGTTGAGGCCAGATGTTATGCCGAAAAGTGCATCCCTGACGAAATATGCATCCCCGAGAAATGAAGTAACCACTAAAATGAATTGGCAAATTCTCTTTTGTGTTTGTTTCTCATTTCTTCACGAAGGATAGATAACTAATTGGTGAAATGAATCATTTTAATCTGAGAATTTGCAGGCATTCCCATTGTAAATCAGCTCGGATGGGCTGTATGTGCGTGGGAATCATACAGTATCTATTAGGTCAGAGCAAAAATGCAAAACCAGAACCCCTTTCTCCAATCTGGTCAATTCTGGTAAACTCTGTGAAAAGCACGACCAGCAGGTAATGCATTTTTCAGCATACCTTGCTGAAATATGCTCTCCTGCACTTCACCTGGGCTGATTTCCAAAGGGGGTGCATATTTCGCCGGGCGTGCACTCCTCGCCATAACACCGGCCTCTCAGGTGGATTCACCCAGTTCAAAGACCTGCTGCTACCTATTTTCTGCCCCTTGTATTAATAGGCATAACTCAAGCTTACCTCCCTTTTTCTATCAATAGTTTCTTAAAAGCCACCCTTCCTCTGAGTCTGTATCTGAAGAGAACAATTGTTCACTGAAGCCTCACTAGTTTGCTTTTAATTTTTTTAGGGGACAGATTCTATCAAAAATGGCTTTATTCACTATATACATACATATATATATGGTAGAAATGGTAGAAGAATGGTAAAAATCAATTATACAATTGAGTGTTCTTTAAGTGAAGTGGCTGGGCTTTTTAACCTTTTTATTTATTTTCACTTTAAAACTTATTCTATGCTAACATTCATAGACTTGAAGCCCTTCCGGTCTACGGCTGGCTCATCCTTGTCAAATTGATCAGGCTCCTTGAAGGCTCAAAACGATGCAGCTTTAAGGGAATCACCGCCCCCGTCTGGCAACACTGTACTTTTGAGTTCAGCAGTAGCAACGTAGGGGGTGAAAAAAGCATTAAAGTGGATCATGAAGTTTTGTATTTAGTTGAAACCTTAAATCTAACAGGGTCGCTTGCTCTGGACAATTACGGCAAAAACCGATCAATTAAAATAAAGAATATTCAATTGATCGGACATCTTTCTGATGATAAATTCAATGTATTATCAATTCTAAACATCTTACATAAATGTCATTATTCAAATTATCTAACATCATTCGACACAGTTCACCAATTCTGTCACACTCCAACTTTGATTTAATTACTCAACGTTTCCATATCCCAAATCCTCTTTCTCCCTGATAAGCCTTACCAAAATCTTAGAGCACTTATTTGTACTTTTGCCTGAGCAGAGTGAAGAATGGGCATATTTGACTACTTATGGCCTGAAGTAGAAAGTTAAACATGAGTATATCAAGTCATAAATGTTGTTACCAGGTCCACTATCACCATTATCGGCTGCAATGAATAAGCAAACAATGTGTGTATGGTGTTATCAGCCTTTCAAATCAATGTGGAAGGTTTTTTTGCCCACTCTTTATAACTTTGCTTTTATATTTTTTATGCACAACTATTTTCATGCTGGATAACTAAGGGCTGTGATACTAAACAAGCCCAAACGATCACACATTAACAGTTGGGGGGCCAAATACGCATTATGTCCACCTATTATATCCAAAATATTTATTGCGGGGCCACATGCCGAACACTTATTTGTGCTTAGTTATCTCTTTTTCTAGTCATAGCTTTTTTGGAATAAACGACTCAGCGAGTTTACATAGAAAAATTAATTAGGAGGCTATTGTATACGTTACAATTTTGCCTTTTAAAATAAAAACCTTTACGCCTTTTAAACATTGTTGTTCTGCTTCAAATTCTGTACTGATTGTTCTTCCTCTCTTCCGGTCATTTTAAAAGCTTCAAATTCTTCAATTGTCGTTATTTAACTTTCAGGTTAGTTACTGCTATATTTGAATTAGCTTCTTAGCTAATTTTAGCTATTTTTTCCATTTCTTCAGCATCTTCTGGTTTGTTCTGATACGCTCATTCAGCAGGTCAGCATTTTTATTCATCGTGTCTTTATTATATTTGTTGTTTTGTCATAAAAACTTTATTTTAAAGAAGAGCACCAGGTATAGCAACCATGTGCTGCTGTGAATCTCTTTTCACCAGCAGAGAGCAGCATGGACTTGAAGAAAGTCTAAATAAATTTCAGATGGTCCACCATATTCTGAAAATAAACACAACAACATGCACATTAACAACAATACAAAATACTAACATGTAGAAAACTGAAGGAATTAGTTTTTAATGTTTTTGATAAGTGCTTCCAATTGATTATAATGATCAAAAATTGAAAGATGATTGGAGAAATAGGACTTTGTCTGAATGCTACTCAGGACTCTGAAGCTTGTTTTAAATATATAAAGAGGTAAATACATTTTTAGAACGCTCCAGGTGTAAGATTTATGGCACAGCTGCTTAAAAGAACAGTGTTGGTGGTTAGGAGTATAACTCTTTTTTCTGTAATTGTTAATACTCTATGTAAAAGCGCTTCAGCACAAATGATATCTTTAACTCTAAAGTAAAGTTGTTATCGTCAGCAAATCATTATCAAAAATACAATTTTGCCAACAATATTGAAATTGTAAAAAAAAATCAAGAGTTAGATGTCTAATCATATTTACAATTGCGTTTATTGGTCAAATGTAATGCTCTTATCTCAGAGAAGCCATGTAACTTAGCTGACATTTGACATTTGGCTGAGGAGGGACTTTGTTTCTCATTTACTTCAGTGTGTTTTAAGTATTATGCTATTTAAGTTTAGTTTTGTATGTCCAGATAAGTACATTTCCATTATAATTCAATTATCTTCAGGGTCCATTACCTCACTCTCTCTGTGACTAGTCCAGAATTGGTTGCAGCAACATCAACCACAGATAAGAGAAGCTTGTTTGCTGTGCGTCATTATGGCCTTTCATTAACCTCAGTTCAGTATGACATTTCTGTGTTTTAACCCAAGTACAAACCCCACATCCAGATTAGCTGGGAATGTTTTCTAAGTTAGCCAGTAATCACAGCCAGTACATTCACTGCAATGCCAGTTCTGGGTAGAGAGTATGACATAATGTAGAATTTCAAAGCACCACACTCCCCAAATGCTTGTCTTACTGAGACAGTTCAGTGTCTGAACAGTCTGCAGTTGTGGAGGACCATTAGATACACCCCGTTATGCTCCCTAAGATTTTAGAAGTGGACTGCTTACATGCCATCAAACTGGCACATTTTGTGTCTGTCAAGATGTGCAAAATATTTACAGTCTTGGAAGATATTTCACCTTGATAATAGTGGCATGTTCATATCAAATCATATCAAGAATAAAAAATAGTTTCTAAATCAAAAATAATTAATAGAAATTTCTACTTGGTGTTTATTTTCTCTAATAAAATAATCTGAGGAGTGATTAAATACAACATTTTTATTTGAATTTCCTTCATATTAAAAAGAAAGCAGATTTATAATGACATTTCTGTAGATGATTGTATTCAGTAAGTATTAAAAGTCAGAAAATACAGACAAGGACCAAGAGAAAATAAAGAAAAGGCCTTATGTAGACTTGACAGTAAAATATTAAAGCAGCTTGATATCCATGTGACCCCAGTCATGAGTGTTGGTGGGTTTAAGCTTTCTTGTATTGTTACCGATCTCTCTGTAGCCGTCAGATAGTGATAAACTGACTCTAGATGGGAAAAGATAAGAAGCAAGCTGGCATCACTTTTAGTTCTCAACTCAAAAGTTCAACTGGATTTAAACATAGTAAAATAATGAATTTCCTCTTATCATCTTTCAGAAAAGGCTAATTTCTGTACTCTGTGCAGAAATATCTTCATATCTGTGAATAATATTGTTCGATTAAAGCTATATGATGACCTCTGCATTTGATCAATCATTATTTTGATGTCTAAAATATCAATCCTGGATATTAAAAGATGAGACAAACCCAAGCACTTTGGCTGACCTGCTGGGGTGCATTTATTTGCAGGAGAGTCCTGGTGAAGCATGTGCTACACTCTGCTCTCTCTGGATTGCACATACTGTCCTATCTAAAAATATCAGGTGAGCAATTTACAACTCAATAAAAGGATATTGGATTCAAAAGGGGTTTTCTTTTTATCAAGCAATTTTATCAAGCATCGTAAGGTTCCTCCTTGTTTTAGGGTAAATTAAAAAGATTTTTGGAGACGTAGAGGTGGGTTTGATGATTGTGTCACTGTCGAAAGGCCATAATGTTGTCATAAGAAACATAAAAAATGATTGATATCCAAATAGTTTTGAGCATTGGTTAACTCTCTTACTTCTATAACTCAAACTGAAAGTGGCTCATAAAAAAGAAGGGTGGTGTCAGGTTTGGAAACCTTAGACACAATTACAAAAAGTAGAAAACAGACATGGACAAAGTTCATTGCCTTTCAATACTTTGCGCAAGGGTAAGAGCAGTCTCAGAGCCCAAAGTCTCTCTC